GGTCAATTTTGAAGCTCTGAATTTTGAAGTCAATTTAAAATATTAAATTTGAGCAGAATCCGCGTGTTTCTTGTTGCGACAACTAACGCGTGGGCGGACCAACACATGTTATGTAATTGTTGCCGGTTTTAGAGCAGATCAATAAATTACGATGTTCGATCTAATGCTGCGCACTCGTATCTCTTTTCTGTCTTCCATTCAATTCGAACCGCCAGTTTCATAAACGCGTTATGAAGAATGGAATAAATCCATTACGGTAGAAGTAAATGTTGATTTAATTTTAAATCCTCTTGATACATCTCTTGTTTCTCACGCGTTGGACTAAATTGATCGAATTGAATGGATGCAGAAATTAATTGAAAATGAAATGTTTTTTTCGCATTGAATTATACTCGAGAAGAAAAATTGATCAATGATACGCATTTTATTCATACGTACCTGTGATTGGTAGTTATATATGGGTTTTGGTTGTTGCAAATTTAATCGTGATTGGAAAAATGTCTTGGATTTTTTCGTACCGTCGAATGCTAAAATTTCGCAATTTTGAAACATTAAGTTGGAATTTCGACCATTAAACATTTGAGTTGTTTAAATTTTAAATTAAAATATTGTTAGAGTTTGAAATATTTGTAAGTCGTGAATTTCTACTTATAGATGGCGAATTCCCAAATTTCTGAATTTTCAAATACTTAAATTTACAAAATTCTCTATGCTTTAAATACTTCTCAAGTTACGGATTTTCTCAAATTTCAATGTTCTGAATTTCCTAAGCCTTAAAATTGCAAATTTTTCTTTTGCTTCAACAGCAGTTTAGAATCTTCAAATTTCTAAACTTCTGAATCATTAGATATTTAGATTGTCAAAATTTTATTACCAAACATCAAATTTGTCCAATTTTCGACGATCTTTCGCGTAACCACCAAAAGGCAACAAAGGATCAAAATGATGAATAATTCTCAGGAAGGATCAACGATCATGGATTTTATTCGCATATTTATTCATCCATTCGTTTCGTTACGTATCGTAGTCGTATATCACATAATACAATGAACCTTGCCGATTTCGTACGTCGCTCTATCTCCTCCTGCTCTCGTACACACTCGAGAGAGAATAGAAACAGTTTTGTCCGTACAGAACGTCTCCACACGAGTTTTATTTTCATTTATTTTCGTTTTAAATGGCATCGTTATAACAACACTTACGTTCTTACTTTTCGTTTTCACAGCGTGTGTATGTACGTATTTATGCGTGTGCGTATATCTTGATTACACTTGCGACAGGATGTTCCAAGAAAAAAAAAAATATATATATATATCCTTCACCACCTCCTGGCTCGCAGTCTCAACGAACGACGTTTTTTTAACGATCGATGATTTTTTGAAGCAATCTGTACGACACACCGAGCGCCGCGTGTTCAGCAAAGGCGATCGTTAAACGCTATTATCACAAATAACCAACGAGGAACGGTAAAAAATCTACGGAAACAATATGGCGGCAACACGATGGCAATTAGCTGAGAGGCTAGAAAGTATTTCGAGAGGCCGAATATTTCGACAGACGCTGTTGATACTGAAAAGATAATCAAACCTGCGACTTTAACATCCGTTTGTGGTACACATATGTGTGCAAATATTATCGTAGATACAATACATGCGTATCTGAAGTATCGCACTCTCTTCGTCTTGCTCTTCTTTGCACCACGAGCGTCCACCGTAAACTCCTCTATCGATTGCTCCAACAAGAACAAGAGTTCAACAGTTCATTATGTTTCTCGAAGCCAATGCAAGATTCTCACGGTTCACTTGAATTCTCCTCGTTTCACATCTCGACGTTTCGAATCCTCGATCATTTTGAATATTTCGTCCGTCACTTCTCGATCAACGGCTAGCATTGAGCATCAATTTTTGCATCACCTGTGAAACTCTTCGTTTCTTCGTATCGAACTCTGGCTGGCGGAACGAGGCGTAAGACACTCGAAGAAGCTCGACTGTTTGTCGCGAATCCAACCTATGAATTCCGCGGCACGGGTCGTCGCGGGGGACGATCTCGATGATCTCTCGAGAACGAGAATGAAGTTCTGATTCTCTAGAAGGACTGAATCCTTACTTTCGAGGTCCTCGGGTCGAAGGTGACGCGTTGAGCGCCACACCTGGCACGCTACAGTCATCTCGATTCGCTTTGCGAGTGAACCGTCGGCTCCGAGCTGGGATCCGCGTCCGAGTCGTCGATCGACACACCCTGCTGGGGCGCCTGCATCGAGTAACTGGGGCTCCGGTCGTTCCTGCGAACAAACAATCGCGCGTCGTGGCGTATTTTCTTCGACAAAATTGCAAACTTTTTAGTTGGGAATTGCATCGTCGTGTATTGTTGGAATTATTCAAAGAAAAGTCCCAAATTTTATTTTTATACAGTTCAAAAATATGTGTGTATGTGTCAAATTACCATTATGTAATTATATCAAATGATATTATTGTATAGTAATTATTATTAGAAATTGCATTATTAAAAACGGGTAACTGGCAATTTCTTCAGAAGTTTGTTTCAAATTCTTCAGTTCTCAAATTTTCGAGTTCAATTCAAGCGTTAAAGCGTACGATTACTGGAACATTTTCGAACATCCAAATTTTTGAATTTTGAATCCTTTCGAATTTCAATGCCTCGGACATTCTCGTACGTCTAAATTTGTCAACTTCGTCCTCAAACTTTAAAGTTCCTAAACGTTTGAAACGTCACTGAAAAATTCTTTAACTTCGAAATCTTCAAATTCTCGCTTCTGAAATTTTAACGATTCGAATTTACTAAACCTCGGAATTTTTTAATTTTCCAACTCCATAATCTTTGAAACCAAGAGAAGTTCTAGAACGATTAAAAACTCTTCAGAATTTCCAATTTCCAAGCTACTGAATAATTTCTACCGAATATTTCGTAACATTTCGATTTATAGGAAATTGAAGAAATTGAAAGTCATGAAAAAAAAGAAAAATAATATTTTTCATATAATAATTATCTAAAGAAAATTTCCAAATTTTTTTACACTGTTCAGAGTAATGTGCACGTTGAAACGCTTCAAAAGCTCAAATTATGCTATTACATCAAACGAAATTAATTGTGTTGTAATTATTATTTATCAAGGAAAATTTGAGCTCACCTCATGGCTAGTTGGCTGCCATCGCTGCCGCGTCTCAAGGTATTCGCTCGCCGTTTGCAAAAGCATTTGCAGATGATGCTCTTGAACGCGAACCGGAAATCTTTGCTAAAAAGCGCGTAGATGCACGGATTTATTGCGGAGTTGCAGTAGCCTAGCCAAAATAGCACGCTAAACACCGTGGGATGTATGCAATTGGGGCAGAAGGCGCGCACCAGATACATGGTGAAGAATGGAAACCAGCAGAGGATGAATCCGCCAACGATGATGCCCAGTGTTTTCGCTGCCTTCGTCTCCATTCGAAATTTTTTCACCTGCAACAATTTGACGCCTCGATTATTACTATATTTCTTTTATGTTCTCGAAATTTATTTTATTTTCCAATCCTTTATAACGGCATAGAAGTTGTTCGAAATGAACAATAATTTGTTATACTTCTTTTCTATTTTTGGAATTTTATTTTGTCAATCTCTTGTAATATGCAGCATGTGAAAATGTTCCAAGTATAGAAATTATTCGAAAATTCTTTACTAGGACAACTGATAATTTGATATGTTAATCATTATATTTATATTACATCTAACGTATTTATATTACATTTAATGTATTACTTTAATTATACTTTTGTTATATTATATTGATTGTTTATATTTTCTTCATATGTTTAATGAGGTGAATCTTTTGTGTTCTTATTATCGTATTTTTTTTTTTTTTTTGTAATGGAACTGCTTTATTTTATTTTATACGAAAATTATTCTTTTAGCAATTTCAATAATTTTAATTCTATAGACATTTATAGATCTCGATGGAAATGTGGGAATGAAAGAGTAAATTAATTACACTATAAAATTAATTACGCTATGAATATTTAATATGATATCTATGCT